TTTGTTTTCCCTTTGGTCCATAACTGTTTTCATGTTGTTATGGCTTACAGGCAGAGAGTTTTAAGTACTTTGTTGTGCAATATTATTTTATGCCGTGAGGTTAAGTTATTTGCAATAACGACGACTAATTGTTTTTGACCGTAATGGATCTTGTAACCTGAAAGATATATTAAATAGGTAACATCCTATAAAATATTAAATTGTATTGATAGTATAATTTTTTTTTGCATTGTTATTACATATAATTTAAACTCATAGGGAAATGTTTCGACGTGCATATGTATTTATGAATTTTATTTCTCTTTACTTCTCGTCGTATCGTATTAGTTGTTTCCCCTTGATGTTAAGGTAACTCAAAGAAAAATTTTAAAGAAGTCAATGTTAACATGACACGTATCTTTGTTTAAAATCATTATATATTTTCTGAATTAATTTCATAGTACAACTTTTAGCCATTAACTCATATTAAAGGCCACCTCGGAAAAAGAAAAAAAAAACCTAACAAAACAAAGTCATTTTGATTATGTTATAAATTAGTGTTAATGAAGAAAAATAATTAAGTGATTGGTGAAAGACTAATTTGATAGATAAAGCATCTCAATAAAGCTTGAAATTTGAATAATTAATTGGGTTAGGTACGATTTCAAAAAAAAAATAAAAAAATAAAATACTAACAATATCATACTTAATAGGGATAATACATAGGAACCCATTGAACTATGAGCTTTTTTTCAATCTCACATTGGAACTTTGCAGGGTCCTAGTACCCCTTAAAAATTTACAACTCTTATTATTAGACCATTTTCAGCTATTTTGGCGCATGATCACAAGAAGGTTCCAGCACGTGTATTGCACGCATAATTAAAATAAATTTTATATTTCTAGTTAGCTAAAAATTCTAAACATTAAAAGAAATATTAACCTTTTTTATAGCGTTGTTCAAAATCGAACCGAAACCGTTAACCGAACCGATAACTTATTGGCTTATTGGTATCAGATTATCGGGGTAATGGATGGTGAACGGATTGAGATTTTATAATTAACAACTTAACAGTTTGGGGCGGATTACTCAATTTTCTTATCGGGTAAATCATTAACCCGTTAAGAATTTTTATATTTATACTTTTACCCCCTATATATATATATATATATAAAGTACTACTGAGAAGTCGCCAGTCACCAGAGCTTAGAAAATCTTTCAGCAGTTCTGCAACGTAACTTAGATACCTTCTGCAACGAAAATGTCATTTAAGTTACTTAGTTTCTACTTAGATGCCTTAGAAGTTACGTTCCAACATATTCAGACTATGTACTTGCAGCAGATTCACACTATGTTGCCTTAGATGACATTTGGACTAAGTAATTTAGATGCCTTTGTAATAACCAAATGAAAAATAAGTGGAAACTAATAAGAAGTTAGAAGTGCATCTGTATTCTGTGCAGTAGTGATATAATTATTTTTTTTCATAGCAGAATTTTACCAGCTATATAATACAATTATTTAATTAATAATTTTCAGAAAATATGCATAAAAATTGAGACACTGCAAACACAATTCCAAGATAGAACCAAAGAAGACATCAACACAACATCTCAAGATAGAACTAGAGAAAGAGATCTATGATAATGGCCAGAACTGGAAGTAATTTGTAGATCTCAGATGGTATTGATTTGAAACCGTTTGGTATTGACCGAATGATTGTTCAAAATTTTTTTATTTGACTTAGCCGATAAACCGCCCGATAATCGTTAATCCGATAACAATCCGCCCGTTGTCTTATTGGATGGCTAGCAGATTACTATATTTATAATTCGATAACCGATAAGCCGAACCGTTAAGCATAATTATCCGCCCAATAAGCACTCCTACTTTTTAATACCCGGTTAAAAGAATCTCTATCCTATTCACTCTACTTCTTTCAGCCGATAGAGACCCCGTTTATTCTCCCTATATTCAACCATAAAACTACCTATGATTTCTTCCCTAATTCTGTTTATCTAAGCAGTTTGAATAAAAAAAATTGGTCAGTACGAGTGAGTACATACGCCCTGTCTCAAGATTGGTGAAGAAGTTCAAAGCTGGAGCCATAAGATACAATCTTCCGTCTGCATCTTCTTATTTTCATAATATGCTAATACCTCTTCAAGCTCCTTAATTTTGTCACCTAATATTGGAAGAACAAACTTGAACGCGCACCAATTTCATCATCCCTCCATCGAAAGAACTTGCACGACTTATTCTGTGAAAATAAACCACCCATTAATTAACTAAAACAATTAGAATTTTAAGCACAAATTGAAGCATCAAATATACACCATAAAATAGACAAGCCCAATATCGTCTTCCTGGGTTCTTCTTTGACCAAGAAGTGAGTAGGGGCAACAATAAACCATGTTCGTTAGGGTTGTGCATGGATCGGATCAGATTGAGTACATTTCGAATTTTAGATTCTACAAAATGCAATCCGAATCCGATCCGAATTAATATCGGATCGGATTTTAAAGTTTGGATCGGATTAATATTTCGAATTTCGGATCGGATTATACGTATTATTAAGGCTATTGCTAATCTAATCGGCTAATGCATCTGCCTTATCTACTTCTTTTGTGTTATGTGCTAATACAAACATTTCTTTGCTTTTTATCCCTTTTATCAGCATTGCATCTCTAAGAAAATATTTCTTTGGAGATTCGAGTTGTTATGCCTCAAAGTTGCAAATTCATACGTATATTTTCTTTGTAAAAGAGGCAATACAGCAAGAAAAATTCATGTTTCTGCAATTATGAGGGTACTGTGGTGCCAATATAACTAAATCCATCAATTGTAAAGGTAATAACTTGGAAAAAGTTGTAAAGGAAGTACTAACTATCCGAAATTAAAGTTTAGTATTTATACATGCATTAATAATTTCAGATTTCGGATTGGATCGGATTAACATTATACCAATCCGAATCCGATCCGAATATCCAAAATTTTAATAAACATAATCCGAAATCCGATCTAAATATCCGAAATTCGAAATTCGAAATTGAACGAATAGGTTCGGATTTCGGATATCCGATCCTAATGAACAACCCTAATGTTCGTATCGCATTATGGAATGCAACATCAAGTCTTCCTTGTCCATACAAATGTGGCTTAAGCTTTCTTTTGACATTTTAAACCTATATACCAACAAAATAAACAATAAAAGCTATAGGATAAGATAATAAGCAAAGATAAAAACTGAAAAAGTAGAATTTCATATTAATGGAAGCTGATTTTTGATGAAAAAACTCGTATAAGTTGAGCAATAATGGGGGGTGGGTCTATTTGAGAAGAAATGTGTTTTTATGGAGGGATTGGAACAAATACTTACTAGTCAAGGTTGGAAAGGCCACATGGCAATATTGCATTGGTTTAAGGCAGATTTTTAGAGCCCTTACGTGCTCTATTTTGGTGAACCCACATCAGGCGCCAAAATAGCTGAAAAGGGTCTAATAATTAGAGTTGTAAATGTTTAAGGGGTGCTAGAACTCCTGCAAAGTTCTAGTGTCACATTGGAAAAAGCCCATAGTTCAAGGGGTTCTTATTACGGGGTTTCAATGGATATTCGAAAACCGATTAAACCGATCGAATCGTACCGCACCGAATCGATTTTTAAGTTTCTTTTAAAAAAATCGTAGATTTTTATATAAATCTATAACCGCACCGATAATTAGGGTAGGTTTTTTATTTTATAAAAATAAACCAAAAAAATATCGAACCGTACCGAATAAATTTTACGTGTGGAAAATATATTTATATAGTAAGTTTAAAAATAATAATGCATTAAATTTTTCTTTGGGCCTTGGAATTATGAAAATTGTTACAAGCCAACAAGTAATTAAACTCAAAATACTAATTTCTAAAACCTATTATGCTACTTCTACTTAAACTAAGTTATTTCAAGTATCTTCATTAGCAAGACACAAAGTATTCTAGCGATTATGGGTAGCAAACTACAATGTATTGAATATGTTTTCTTTCATATAATTTAGATTTATCTTTTTGAATATTTAATCTTCTATAGACTTTATTCTTGAGTCCCAGTTTGGTTAATATCTTCCACTCGTGTAATTTATATTTTCTTTGCCTTTGCTTGGTTTCTTTTACGTTGTTGTAGAATAGTTGATGGATCTATACTCTACCATCTTTCATTTTTTTAATTCATCAACCTTTTAAACAGTAAAAATGTCTAGAGAGTTTTGCCAAGTCCTATAAAAGAACGTATGTTATTGCATTCTACTTCTATTGGTGAATTTTACATGATATTTAAAAAAATATCGAAAACTAACCGAACCATACCAATACCGAAGAAAAACCGACATGATTGAGATAGTTTCGAAAAGTCTAATTTTGGTTATACATAATAGAATAACCGAAAAATTGGTATAATACAAATTTTATAAAATAACCGACCGAACCGAACCATTGACACCCCTAGTTCCTATGTATTATCCCTACTTAATATATGTGGTTATAAGACTCTTGATACTTATAATTTAAACAAGACTCTTGATACTTATAATTTAAACATGTCCTAATTTGTGTTGTTGTAAGATTTTATTTTAAATTATGCACCAATTTATTACATTATTTTATTATATATTGCCTCCGTCCCAAATTAGTTATCATGTTTCGCGTGTCGAGAGTCAATTAGACTTATCATTAAAGCTGAAATAGATTAGATAAACTCAGCATTTAAAATTAAATATTCAAAAATTATACAAAATACACTACAAATTATAATTTTGCTCATATCAATATAATAAAAAAATATAATTTAAAATATCGATTAAAATTCACGTAGTTTAACTTTTTATGCCACATGTTGGTATACAGTATACTCTCTCTAAACTAGAACTAGAATAGACTGAGTATATTTGTATGGGCGATTGGCTACTTGTTGGTCCCAATAACGCAAACCAAAGTGTCACAATATTAATGTCAGCGTCATTTGAGAGTTGAAGAATCCAACGTCAATGCTATAAATCTGACCAAAGAAATAATAATGCTCTGCGCAAAACCCACACGCTTTCATCAAAATAGTCGTCTGCCTTCGTCTTCAACGCCTCTTTTCCTCGACCAAATTGCTCTCTTTCTTCCATTACTTTTTTGTTCATCCACTGGAAATTATCCCTTTAATCGAAAGAGTCGAAAGAAGAATCTGGTGATAAAAAATGGGGTGTTGCAGTAGCAAGGCGGCAGATACTAAAGCCACCCGAATGGCTCGATGGCGTTCTACTGGCATCGTTGCTTTACGCGACTCCAAATTGAAGGCATTTCATTTCTTCTCTCCCTTTTCCTTTTTTTATTTATTAATTTCTCATGACAGCTATTAGCTGACTGTATAAATTGTAAGTATTTAGTATTGAAATGAAATGAAAGACCGAGTATCGTGGAATTTATATACTAGTTTAGGTTTAAGGCTTAGTTGATTGATTGATTTATCAGCCCAGTGTGTGTTGCCCTGTGTTTTTCTTATTTCTATCCATTTTGGATCAAATATCCGTAAACTGAAAATATGGACTTTTGGCTTCAACGAATTGTGCTGATTGATTGATTGATTGTGGTATTTCAGATTTTGGTGCTGATAATTTGCCAATTCCCTTTTTCTATGTTATAGACTTGTTTGGCGCGAGGAGCATTTTACTTTCTTATGATGTATGAAGGAGGTCTATGAATATTTTATGGAATTGACTTGGATGATAACCTTCATGACACTTTGGAGTACATTGCCTAAGAGCAAAAAAGTTTATGCGGTGATAGATTAAGTTCACTATTTAGATATACATAATCAATCATCTATATGTAGGAGAATTTAATCCATGTCTCTCTTTCTCGAATGTTCTCTAAGGAAGCTAGACGTTTGATATGAAAGAGCAGGAAAAAAAGAAATGGACAAGTGGCCAAATACATTCGGTGGGAACTAGTGTCAGGTTACTTTTTAAGTAATTCCTTTGCGAAACGTTTTCATTTTATGAGTCAAAGATGCAACTTTTGTCTGCACTCTGCATTGTTCTTTAACATTTTTGCTACCAAGTTCGCAGTCATGATCACATAGTACTCTTAATATAAATTTCAAATCTGTGAACTTTTTTTTTCCCGTAAAGTAAATGATCTGCATGAGAAATAGTTCAATTTGATTCTTGAATTGAAGATTGTGCCCCATAAATTAGAACAGAGACAAATCTAAGATTTATTTTCTATTGGTTCAACCTTTGAGGTTCTTAGTGTTGAACCTATTATATTGGGTTCATATTTACTATTTGTTGCAATTTTCGTGGATTTTTACACATAAATTTATGCTATGCGTCGAAAGTACCAGACTACCAGGTTCGGATGTACCGTAATGTTAGATCCGCCCCTGAATTAGAGAGACGGAGTAACTACATTTAGTGGCATCAGGACCATAAGTTGATTTAAGGGAGTGCTGACGATGATGTCATGCAGTTATTTTTAACTGAAAGATCTTTCCCTTCCTAAGCTACTGACTGTCCATGACTCAATGATGAGATATGATTGTTTTAATCATGAAGTGTCCATGTCGTGTGTGCGTATGTATTGCTCATATATACATTCAACATGCATGCTTGTGTGCGTTTCCCAATCTAATTGAGGGTATGGCTTTACAAGGAAATAGGTTTAGATCAAGGGCGGATTTATAGGTAAAATTATGGGGCACGTGAACCTATGGTCTTTTCGCAAAATTAGATATTTTATGTACATATTTTCTAAAATTGATATAATATTAACTGTTGGCACTCATGCTTCAAGAAAGTTGAATGGTGCACTTGGTTGAAGGTTAAGTTATTTACCAAGAAGAAGAAGAGGGATCAAGTCCCACTTAATACGTTTTTTCCCTTTTCCCATGTATGTTGAAGGTTGGGTTATTTACCAAAAAGAAGAGGGATCAAGTCCCACTTAATACGGTTTTTCCTTCTTTTTTTCGGTAGTGTACCCATGTATTAAAAATTCTAAATCCGCCTCTGGTTTAGATCCCATTGACTTTAATTCATGAAGGTGGGTACAAGGCTTAGATAGTGATTGTAGCATGGATTCAGTAGTTACTGTTGTTTGTTTGCTGGTTTCAATGAATAATGCTTGCTGTGAATGAATGTATATATGTCAGATAAGGACACAGTTTAATCCTTTCTGTTAGTCAAATTCATGATTTCCTGACTGCTTTTTCCTTGTACAGTCTTTTCCGGATGAAGTTATTAGCCTGGAGAGATCTGTACGCACCCTCGACTTGACACACAATAAATTGGGTATTGCTATAATTTCTCAAACTTTTGATTCCTATCTTCTTGCCGGTTAGAGTTCAAAGACAAATCACTACAATTCCATTTGCTACTGCTATGTTTATGCCTGTGTTACGTTGTTACTTGGGGAAATTGCTTATATCATTTATCTTTTGATCTCATTTTAAATGAAGCCTTTTTTTTTTCCTGAAGCTAATCTGTCAGTCTTTGAATTGTGGCAGTTGAAATTCCCATGGAGATCAACAAGTTAATTAACTTACAACGTCTAGTAAGTACTACAAACTTACATGTTTTTTCCTATCTTTGTCACTTTGTGTCATAGGGGCTTCATCAAAAGAAGAATATCTAGTAAGATAACCTTATTATGTTATCGGTATCCACCCACTTGTGGGATTATACTGGGTGGTTGTTGTTGTTTGTTATCGGTATCCAAATCTCATGAAAAATGCTAGGTCAGAATTGTTGGTCATATACTTGCAGCCAAAAGTCTTTTAGGAAAACTATTAGCTTCTTTTGGAGGACATGATGTTGTCAACAGTAGAGAATGAGGAATCTCTACTGTTGGAAAAACCTAAATTACTGAGAATTGGAATGAAACAGGTCTAAATGGAGCAAAATGGATACTAATGATTGATATAGCTGACTGTACTAGCTTGGGATTGAGTATAGTTGTTATTGTTGTTCTACTCTATCTCAGTGTCCACCAATTCTGACATAGGCTATATTTGCTTTCTTTCTTTTCTGCTTCATCCCTAAGGGAGACAACCTTTTGCACATGCCCCAATATTTCTGGTATTATTGCGCGTTCCCGAATATTTTTGATTGGGGCTGGTGGGTGGATTTTTTTTTTTTT